AACCAGTAGGTTGAGGGTTTGAGTCACGTTAGAGGGTAAGTGGGAACACTATTGATCTTCCTGATGGGGTGGGGAGGGTAAAAAAGTCCTCCAAAGCCCAATTCAGGCCATATATACAACCCAACATGTTGTATCTATAAAAGAGTGAGAGAACCAAAAATATTGAAGTTTGTTTTAAAAACAAAAGGAGCAAAATTCAAAACTTTCTCTATTTCACATGCACGAACCCATGCAAAAGAGAGAAGATTATTATGCCTCAACAAAAATTCAATTCAACGATTGTCCTGTCTAGCTCTCTCTCAGTTTCCTATTGAATCCAGCTTCTACGGAAAGCATTGGATACCATCCTTATAAATATAGGGGGGAAATCCAAAGATTATGAATAATCCAAGTACCAATCAACAAAAAGATTAATGATCTTGACATGTCAACTTTAACATCAGATCAGTTTAAGTTACTAGAAATGTAGACAACTTGGATACAAGATTTAACCAGAAAAGAAATCATAACCACACAGTAAGAAAATCACTACACTAGTTCTTCTAGTCTATGAATCTTAGTGATAAGCATGCAGAAAATACCAAACAAAACCCCATGAACACAAGCTAGTTACACAATATAACCATACAGAGCTTATAAATATATCTCATGCCTCTCCACTTCTCGATCTGCATATAGATATTCATGATTATATTTATTCCTAAAAAAATCAATTAATCAATCCACTACCCGTCTACACCTCAATCCCAAAAAATTAGCATCACAAGTTTATTTGGGTAAGGTAAAGTAAAAATTAGAATCACAGTTTTTTCTCTAAACATCAAAATTCAAGACATAATGGGGGAAGGGGAATCCAAGACATCATTTGCACCAAGCAATCCCACTTCTCTAAACCCATCTCGCAGATATCATCGAATATAAGAAGTGTAAATGGACAATTAGTGTTGGAGCCCTAGGGTAATTTCAAAATGTAAGCTACATAATAACGACAATCCAAAATCATCACCCAAGCACTTTCTGTTGATCAAAGAATGCCACCTTGTGCTGCTGTAAATTAGGTTATATTAGGTCAACACAATTTTACTAGTAAGCACCTTGAAGAGCTGAATCCAGTAGAGATGCAAATAAAGAAAATGTTGAGTCTCCACTGTCCGGTGATGCATCATGCTCCTCCTTGCAAGTTCTAAGGGAAATACTTCCACCGCGACGAATCAAATCATCAGTATCTATCTCTAATATCCCATGGCTATCAAGAGACGGTCTACTCTTAAAGGCGGTTTGTATTCGAGAAGGTGTTACATCAGCATCAATACTTTCAACTTCTTGTTTGATGTTCTCCATGAGAAGTGCTCCATTCGATCTAACCTCACTGACCCTAGCAGTAGATCGTTCCCGATGAGGAGATAGGCTTGAACCTGAACTCCTTTTCCTGTGCATGGTACTGATGCTTCAGTGCCGGTGTGTTACAGAAATTTTAAATACACACACAAAAACTAAAATAGATGCCAAGCCCATAAAAATCATTGCCGATATATGAAACAGCATATAGTTAATACAGAACATATAAGCAAAGGGACCTTCAACTACCATACTCTAAATACTTTCAGAAAAATATCCGCTCCATGCCCACTATACAGAAATGCACATGCTCTTATAAAATAATAGGAGTATCCAATAGTATTAGATTTTGCGGTTTTTTTTTTTTTTT